TTAGAAACATGAGCCCGCTTCTCTTTGTAGGTTGATGTGACCAGCCAATAGCTGATACTTGTTAGGGTGCCGCGATTCGTGTCAGGCAATGTGAAAGTTAACTTTATTGACATCATGTACATATACCCGGCGACAACTTTCTGTGGCAGCACGGCCAAGGCTACGTGGGCGGAGCCTATGCACATGTGCTACTGCGCCAAGTAGTCCGACTACTTCGACGGGTGTTTCGGTTTCGATTTCACCAGCGCATACTTTATCCTTTGTGTGTCCGGCGTTGACCCAGGTTTCGTCAAGGTAGTATATGGGTCTGGAAGAATAAACAACAAAAAAAAAATTGCCCGCAGCTTCCCTCGGGAGAACACTGAGGAGGATGCGGAGCATATAATTGGTTAACGGGGTGTTAACGTGCGACTTACTTGGGTCGATGGCTAAATTGGTTAACGTGGTTGTGAAATGGGGTGTTAAATTGCGAGTTACTTGGGTCGATGGCTAAATTGGTTAACGTGGTTGTAGGAGGGGGTGTTAAATGAGTGAACACGTACACACGTTTGCGAAAGGGCGGCGCTGGTCGAAGGGACGTCGATCATTGTGTTTGTGGATTCGTTGGAATTCATTTCACCGCGACCTTGGACGTCGACGCGCCGTACAAACCAACCGACGAGCGGCAACTGAGCGAGCGAGCGCCGACCTTGAGTATATATACAACTCGACGGCGCATGCACTGTCAGCTGTTGAATGTTCTCGAAGCGCGACGCCACATGCGCGTCCACTGGAGAATCAGGAGAATTGTAGATGTCGAACGCGGTGTGTAGAGGAGGAAGGGTGCACAAATGGTGGAGGAGTGAAGCACGCGCGGTGTGTAGAGGAGGAAGGGATGCACAGATGGTGGAAGAGTGGGCGACGGCGCGACGGCGCATGCGCGCGCGTCAGCTGTCGAATGTTCGAGAAGTGGTGCGGACGGCGCGGACGGCGCGGACGGCGCACTACAAGGCGCGAGTATAAGATGCTTCCGCATCTAAAATGAAGCATGTCATCTGCAGCGAAGCGCGGCGAATGCAGCGAAACTCGGCTCGTGTCACAATTATTAAAAATTGCTCGCGTTTCGGCTCGCGTTCGCTCGCGTTTCGCTGCAGGTTTCGCTGCTCGCGTTTCGCTGCTTTTCCTTACTTGCGCGTAAACGTTGTACGCCACCTTCTTGGCCTGTACGGACAGCTTTTGATTTGACAACGCCTGGTACGGCTGCGCAGCTGGTGGACTCGCGGCACGCGGCGGTGTTTCCTCCGTAAGCGACGTTGACGAGCTGTAACCGGCGGACGCCATCTTTGACAGTGAGGAATGCGGTGAGGTAAAAAGGCGACGGAAGCCAAAAACCCCCCCAAAAACCTGAGAGAGCGTGAAACGAAATTTTTTCTACTGCACAACGTTTTTATTCACTAATTAAAAAATAAATCCGCGAAAAATGTAAGTGACGAATGGTAAAATCTTAGTTACCCAGAACAGTATACAAATGTTTTCGTTGAGGGACTACATGCTGTGGCGCAGTAAGACAAGCGTGCTTCGGCTCCGTAGCCTTGGCTGTGCTGCCACAGAAAGTTGTCGCGGGGTATAGTACACAATGCCGGAGGCCGGCAGAAAAAGCCATCGCAAGGATAGCTTGACGAAGCTGCGGGCCCCCGTTTTGGCACCAGCGTACAACGGTGTTCTCAGTACATAAACGGACAACAACAATAACAACAACAAGAGAAGGAAAAAAATATGTACTGAACAGATAAATCACTTAGTACAGGACCCGAAGGAAAATGTGAGCCCACTACAAATAACCACGTCTTGCGTACAAACCATACACAAAAAAATATACACCAACGGATGTACTAAATAGCTCAGTACACATAGATTACCTTCTTAATACATGCATACAGATTAACATAACTTTGTAATTTACATAGAGTACACTATAGATATATAATTGCACAAATCATTCAATACACGACCGAAAAAAAATATGAGAAAATATGAGAAAATATGAGGTGGTTACAAATCGCCATGCCTAGCGTACACCGACATATTCTCTATAGCTGACACTCATAGGCATGCGCGAGATGTTATATAGTGTCAATGTAATTATTTGCAAGAAAGGAACGTATTGCATTGAAAGTGTTGGTTTCCAGCTGAAAGTTAAATTCATATAAAGCATTTAGTAGCCTCGGAAGTCTGTTTCGTAACGTATGTCACCCATATGTTGTTCTACAAGTTTTAACAGTCCAAATTTCGCAGTTTCGCATTTTATAAGGCTGACAATTTCTTTTAAGATTGGCAAGTTCAGTAAAGAATACATGTTTCCCCTTTAATTCTTGTTTATAGGCTTTCGTTAATCTAAAGTTGTACATCTTCTCAAAAGGCATTACATTATACTTTTCAAACAACGGGTAGGTGTGAAAATGTGAAGGCACGTCCTCTACAGCACGTAGAAATCTTTTTTGTAGACAATACAATTTTTGTATGTTTTCTTGACTAGTGGATGCCCAAACTAGATGGCAATAGTTAATGTTTGAGGAAAATAAAGAGTTGTAAATTAATATCATTACATGTCTCGGAAGGATCAGGCGATTCCGGTAGACTAGTCCCACTATTTGAGATAACTTACTTGATATTGTGTCGATGTGCTCGTTCCAAGAAAGGTTTTCCTGGAAGACCACTCCTAGTGTTTTAATGTTGGGTACAATATCAACCGGAATCGAATTAAGCAGTATTTGTTGCGTCAATGTTACCTCCTTATTTTTACTTCTGAATATTACAGATTTGGTTTTGCTCGTGTTTATTTTAAGATGGTTTTTCTCAGTCCAGCTATTTAGGTTTTCCTATACAAAATTTGCTTCGCCAACTAATTTGTCCGCCGAATTTCCTCGTAAAAACATGCTGGTGTCATCAGCATAAATAATAAATTCAGCGCTAGGGCTAATGCTGACCACGTCATTAATATAGATATTAAAAAGAAATGGTCCCAAGATGCTCCCCTGTGGTACACCCGAAGATAAAGGCAATAGATCGGAAAAACAGTCGTCGATATGAACCCTTTGTTTCCGATGTTCCAGATAAGACGTAATTAGGTGCGCGGCATTCCCTCGAAAACCGTGACGGTCAAGCTTTTTAATTAGAATTTCGTGATTTATGTGATCGAAAGCCTTAGAGTAATCAATAAACAGCCCAAGAACCAATTCTCCTTGTTCTAGCGCTGCCAAAAGTGACTCTTTTTGTTTTAGCAATGCGAACTCCGTACTAAGTCGTTTGCGGAAGCCAAACTGTGAGCTGTTTAAGAGACTGTGCTTCTCTTCAAAATCTGTAAGACGATTTAAAATTACTTTTTCTAACACCTTTGACATGACCGGCAGTATAGACAGGGGACGGTAATTTGCCATGTCGTTTTTGTTTCCTTTTTTGTGTAAGGCTGTTACACGGGCTACTTGCATTTTACGGGGGAAAACATCCTGGCACAAACATAGGTTAAAAATGTAGGTAAGTATGGGTGCGAGCAAGTCGGAGGTGTACTTTATGGGTTTAATTTGGAAGCCATCGATATCTTTAGCCGTACTGGTTTTTAAGTTAGGAATTATATTTACTACTTCAGCCTCAATAACTGGTTTCCGGAAAATAGAGCTGCTGTTATGCGCAATATTTTCAACGTCATTCTGCACTGTAGCAGGCTGCGAAACCTCTACAAAGTATTGATTAAACGCGTCTGCCAGAGACTTCCCTGTCAGCTGTACGTCGTTCACAATCACTTTGCTCACTTTATCAAATGGGATGTTACGTTTTAAGATGGAATTTAATCTTTTCCAGATAAGATGGGCACGCCCGTCAGCAGATTCAAATTGGTTAGAGTAATAGTCACACCTCGCTTTTTTTAAGTCCTTGTCGAGGCAGTTACGAATTTTTTTGAAGTCTCGAAATAAGGCTGGGTCTTTGTATTTAATGAATTGCCTGTAGAGCTTGTTTTTTTCTCGTATTCTTTTCATAAGCTCAAGGCTAACCCATGGTTTCCGTATGTTTTTACGTCTTTTGATATGCACATAAGGAAAGCAAGATTCATAGATAGAGCTCAAAATGGCGAGAAATGTTTCATAGGAACTGTTTGCGTCATTACAGGACAACACATCATACCAATCCACTAACTTCATTCTCTCCCGAAACGTCAACAAGGCATGTTCCGACATTTTTTGCACTTTTTGTATTGGCTGCCGTATCTTCCGCACGTTTTGTTTACAGCAAATGAATATCGGCAAGTGATCGCTGAGGTCACACGTCAATACACCGGCTTTGATCTTATCGATGTCTAAATTGGTAAAAAACATATCAATAAGGGATGATGACTCAGTGGTCACTCTTGTGGGTACATCTATTACGTTTATAAGACCGTAAACCTTCAACAGTACATTCAGCTTGCATGCCGTGGCATCATTTTTCAGTGTATCTATATTTAAGTCACCACCACAGATAAAAGAGAGGCGATTTCGAGTAGAAAATTCAAAACATTGTTCTAGCTTATCGAGAAAATTTGACACCGAGCCACTTGGGTGACGGTAGCAGACTGTTATAACAGTGTTTTCTACTTTTATCGCCATTATTTCACAATCGTTTGTACAAGCAGACAGCTCTTGTAGTAATTCGCAAGTATATTCTTTTTTTTTACTTTTAAAATGCATATGCCACCACCTCGGCTTTTGGAGCGGTTGAAGTAGAAAGTGTTATACAATGGAATGCGAAAAACGGTAGTCTCATCAGTGGACCAGGTTTCGGTTAGCAATATTGCATCGAATGATTGTTTGATTTGTTCAAGATATAATGACAGATCTGATTACTTATTTCTTACTGATCGTATGTTCAAGTGGAAACATTTGAAGGATTTTATGAATTCCTTTCCTATGTGTTTTTCAAAGGCACGTGGTAGTACATATGACTCGGTATTTTTATGGTTCATGTTTATGGCTTGGCCGTTGCAGTGTTTAGCTTAGTTTATCTAGGTCGCTTATGCATGTGACAACAACAGCCTTGTCCTTATCGTCTTTACGAACAAGAACTCGCCCGTTGTTGTGCCATGCGTGCTTGAAGTTAACATCCTTTGCCCAGCTTTTTGTTTCTTGAAGCAAAGCACGAGTTCGTTTAGTTAGGTTCTCGAGTATGTACACGTGATCATCACGGCCGCGAAGTTTATTCCTGTTTTTCCACCACTTGTCCCTATCTGCCTGCCTTGCAAAACGGCAAATTATGCCCGATATTTTTCCTTTCTTGAATGGAAGACGATGAATTGCTACCACGGCATCGTCTGGAAGGGGCGGAAGCTCAACGTCAGGCGCCAGCGCATTTACTTTGTTCAGCAAGTCCTCGTTTTCCGTAGGCATGATGCCATGGAATTCTAGATTGAGACGCTGGCTTCTCCATTCCAGATTGTCGATTTCAGCTTCCATTTCACTTACATTACTGTTCTGGGTCTCAAGCTTTTCTGTCCGGTGCCTGAGTTCTTTGATATGATGCTCATTCTGCTCGACCCGGCGTAGCAAGTCATCATACTGTTCGCTCCAGAACTGCAATGAGTCCTCAATACCTTCCACTACATCTCTCAAAGGCAGAAGTTGGTCAAGTTTGTCGTTAATTGTAACTAACAAAAGTCGTACATCTTGTGTTTCAAGTTCTTCGTTTGGTTTCTTAACTGGGTCGCGTAGTTTGTTTCTCCTGCAAGTGGGACACCGCCAAGCTATACGGTATGCCTCTCCCTTCGTTTTGATTGTTTTTTCCGATACTCCCGAACATACTCCCGTATGGTATCTGCAAGAACAATCACTGCACTGAATTATACACTCGGGAGCAGACAAGCACTTGTGGCATGCGGCGCATCGCCCATCAGATGACATAATAACACGTTGGCAGCAGCAGAGGCAGCGGAAACATCAACAGTTATGAAAAAAAATTGCTCAGCAACAAAACTAACCTGTGTAAAACAAAGAAGACGAGCGTGAGTCCGTGCACGATGGGTGCTGCCGCTGCTGCCAAAAAGTGAGGGGCCGCTCCGGGTGGAACCACTTATAAGCTGGATCGGCGACAGTAGCGCCTATCAGTTGACAGTGGCCGTGGTGCGGTCGTGGCAGCTCATCCGGGGCGCAAAGTAGTCGAATACACGGACATGCGCTGTGGGAATCCGGGCCGGGAACCAGTTTCAGGACTGTCTCTGGGTTATCTGTGTAAAACACAGAAGACGAGCGTGAGTCCGTGCACGATGGGTGCTGGTGCTGCTGCCAAAAAGTCTACTGCCAATGAAGATAGTGTGCCAGAATTGACAGAAAAATCTGCTGAGGCTCTTGCAACGACATTCTTAATGCACGTTCCTGGCACAGGGCAGAGCTTGAGAGTTGATCCTTCCGAGCCTCCTGTGTTGGTTGAGCTCTCAGGTGGCTGGGAACTCGACGGCGACACTGCGAAAGGCTTGGTATGGTCGGATTTTACTGGGGGCTGTTTCTCTGTGTCCGCAACTTTGGAGATAAGCTGTTCTGACGCATGCATGTGGACGGTTAGCCCTGAGCTTGGCTGAGTACATTCGGAGTTCCGCATCTCTATCCCGACCGTAGTGGGCGTGTGAGACGCGAGGTGGGCGTTGTGAGCGACCGAAGATCCACGCGATGGAAAAGCAGGACGTTGGTCAATGCGTGAAGGCTGCTTTTGACTGTGACGACCGAGTGCGTTTGTCTGTGGATGGTGGCAATACTTCGTCGTAGTCGTCATTGTATTCTTCCAACCAAACGATCATTTCTTGTTTTATCTGTTCCCATGACTCTTCGTTTTGACATATATGGGTGAGGTAGAACTTGAAGACCTCACCGGAGACGTAGTCGGTAAAGTTGGCGACCATCTCCCGTTCCGACCATGATGCAGTGGTATCGTGGAGCTTCAACAGGTCGAACCAGTCCTGTACAGGTTCATCGTCCGCTGCTCCGGTGTACTTAGGGATAGGAAGGTCAGTCGATGATTCCGTCATGATGCTCGTCGATGTGTACTGCTATATGTGCTGGTTAGGCAGTTCATTTATGGTCAGGGTTTCTTGCGGAAAACCTTGTCGATGATGTGCGACTGATGAAGGGGCTGGCAGGTCTCCAACCTGTCGGCTCGTGTGACGCTATGACGAATGGGAGATGTGGCTACCTTCTTACGTTACGTTACACACACACACACACACACACACACACACACACACACACACACACACACACACACACATATATATATATATATATATATATATATATATATATATATATATATATATATATATATATATATATATATATATATATTTCTTGAAAGTCTTCCTGGATTCCGGTCGAGTTATAAGTCACCAGAAGAAGCGAACGAGCAAACGAAAAACGATGCTTTATTGCCAACGTTACGGCCGGGGACCGGCCTTCGTCAGGGCATACGGGAATACACGTATGCCCTGACGAAGGCCGGTCCCCGGCCGTAACGTTGGCAATAAAGCATCGTTTTTCGTTTGCTCGTTCGCTTCTTCTAGTGACTTATATATATATATATATATATATATATATATATATATATATATATATATATATATATATATATATATATATATATATATATATATATATATATATATATATATATATATATATATATATATTGTCACAGGGTCGTGACGTGGCCGAAGACAGGAGACTTCGTGTTGGGATTTAACTGTTTATTTGGGCGAACCTGTGCCCGGTAAACGGAAAGTCCAATTACAGCAGCAGTCTCGCAAAGATAGCGGCGAACGGAAATATATATATATATATATATATATATATATATATATATATATATATATATATATATATATATATATATATATATATATATATATATATATATATTGTCACGGGGTCGTGACGTGGCCGAAGACAGGAGACTTCGTGTTGGCGGAAAGTCCAATTACAGCAGCAATCTCGCACAGATAGCAGTCTCGGACTGATAGCGGCGAACAGAGCGTCGGCCTTCGATCAACAACTGACAAGCGGCGAAGCGCGTCGGCATTTATACTCTTGCCGTCGAATGTTCTAGCGTTATCGCTGGCGGTGGCGTAGGTTCCAGAACAATCTGTACCATTCGCACAGTGGGCGTGATCTTATCGAAATGATCTACTACAGTCCGGAACCTTCTCGAAAACTGCAGGCGCGGTTTGCGCTGAGAATCATGTGGTGTTTTGGGACGATAACAAAAACTTGGGAAATGGAACGTGGCAAGCGGCTTAGAGAGCGCACAGTCAAACAGGCCAACGGGAGAAGCTCGAGAGTCCAACCCACTACAACCACGTTGTCGTCTTCTTCATTTGGGTGCCAATTCAGCTGTGTCGACGTGACAGTTCCATACACGTATCATCACCCCGGCCCGTAAGGCACCGTCTCGGTGCCTGTTAAATGAGCGAGTCGGCGTTGTAGGGCTTGAGACGAGAAACGTTCTGAGTGCAGCAGCTGATGAGTTTGTGGTGCGGCAATCTCGTAGGTCACAGGTGTGACCTGACGAATGACTCGGTAGGGCCCAGCGTATCGCGATAGTAGTTTCTCGCAGAGGCCAACACGTCGAGATGGGAGCCACAGGAGAACAAGAGATCCCGCAGAAAAAACGGCATCTCGATGTCGACGGTCATAAAGAGACTTCTGTGCTGTCTGCGACGACGATAACCGAGCACGCGCTACCGCACGTGCCGTGAGGGCACGGGTGCTTGCATCCTGAGCGTACGAGGTGGAGGATAGGTGGTCTGATGAAAGGAGTGTGTCGAAGGGCAGTAAGGGATGACGTCCGAAGAGTAGATAAAAAGGGGAGTAGCCCGCTGTTTCATGACGCGACGAGTTATAGGCGAAGGTTACGAACGGAAGAGCTATGTCCCAATCAGTGTGGTCGGTAGATACGATAGATACAAGATGTGACGTAACGGCGAACAGAGCGATACAGACCCTTCCAGAATACTCGTCGTCGAATGCGGTCGTAAGTTCTGGAGACTCCTAGATGTCCAGAAGTTGGAACGTCGTGGAATTGTCGCAGAACATCCTTTCGCAGGTGATGCGGTACGACGAGTAAAAGTTCGGCGCCGTCGGGGTGTAAGTTGCGGCGGTACAAAACGTTGTCTTGAAGCAGGTATCTGCTAAGAGAAGGGTCAGCATAACGCGGTTGAAGGCGGTCAATGATGGTGAGCAGCGATGGATCTCGGCGCTGTTCGTCAGCCACGTTCAGAAAGTCAGTGATGGCTAAAACGCAGGCATCGGATTCCAAATCAGTGGAGCTAGGTGGATCAACAGGGTGCCGGGATAAGCAGTCAGCATCGCTGCGCTGCTTTCCAGATTTGTGAACAACCGAGAACGTGTACTCCTGTAATCAAAGTGCCCATCGGCCGAGTCTTCCTGTAGGGTCCTTAAGCGTTGACAGCCAGCAAAGCGCATGATGGTCCGTGATGACTGCGAACGGACGTCCGTATAAGTACGGACGGAATTTCGCAATAGCCCAAACGAGGGCTAAGCATTCCCGCTCAGTGATGGAATAATTTTGTACCGCTTGCGACAAAAGGTGGTTAGCGTAGGCTATCAAATGGTTGGTGCCATTCTGTATCTGAGCGAGTATAGCACCAATGTCATGGCCGCTTGCATCGGTGCGAAGCTCTGTTCGAGCCGCTGGATGAAAATGAGCCAACACAGGTGGTGATGTGAGGGCGGTAATTAGCGACGCGAAGGAATATTCTTGGTCCCTTCCCCAAGAAAAGGCCACATTCTTTTTGAGGTGATCCGTGAGGGGCCTAGCAATATCCGCGAAATTGAAGACAAAGCGGCGGAAGTATGAGCAACAGCCCAATAAAACTACGAACTTCTTGTGTGGAACGCGGAACCGGGAATTCTCGGACTGCACGGACTTTGTCAGGGTCGGGTTGAACACCAGTGGCGTCAACAAGGTGGCCGAGTAGTTTAATCTGCCGACGTCCAAATGAGCATTTCGACGAATTCAGTTGGAGACCAGCGCAACGAAAAACGTCAAGAATTACCGAGAGACGAGACAGGTGGCTTTCGAAGGAGGGCAAGAAAACTATTACATCATCCAGATAGCAGAGGCAGGTCGACCATTTGAAACCGCGAAGAAGAGAGTCCATCATACGTTTAAAAGTAGCCGGGGCATTACACAACCCAAAAGGCATGACCTTGAATTGGTAAAGGCCGTCGGGTGTGATGAATGCTGTCTTCTCGCGGTCGCGGTCATCGACCGAAATTTGCCAGTATCCGAATCGAAGGTCAAGGGACGAGAAATAGTTGGCACCGTGGAGGCAGTCGAGCGCATCATTGATTCGAGGTAAAGGATAAACGTCCTTCTTGGTGATCCGATTCAGGTGGCGATAGTCGACGCAAAAACGCTAAGTGTTGTCCTTATTTTTAACTAAGACCACAGGGGAGGCCCAAAGACTCGTTGAAGGCTCAATGACGTCTTTACTCAGCATTTTCTCGACCTCCGTCTGTATTACTTGGCGCTCAGCATGTGACACGCGATAAGGGCGTTTGTGGAGTGGACTGGCGTCGCCGGTGTCGATGCGGTGGGTTACGGCACTTGTGTGGCCCAGGGGACGGTCGTCGACGTCAAAGATATCCAGGTAAAAAAATAGAACACCCCGGAGCGCCGCAACTTGGGAAGGTAAGAGGTCGCTGGATATCATT